GTCCCACTAGTTTATTTTTGCTTTTGTTTTCCCTTGCCTGAGGAGACATATCCAGAAAAAAATTGCTAGTGCCAGTGTTGAGGAATTTACTGCCTATGTTTTCTTTTAGAAATTTTTATGGTTTCAGGTCTTACATGTAGGTAATTCATTTCAAGTATATTTTTGTGTATGGGTAAGAGAGTGCTCCAGTTTCTTTTGCATGTAGCCAGCCTGTTTTCCCAGCACAAGGTGGTGTATCTTGACAAAATATCTCACTTCACTTCTACAACTGCTTTTTTCTTTCTTTGCCCCAGAGCTTTTTTTAATGCTGGGGCTAAAGATGCCTGTGGGAGCCACCAGGGATACACATGTATGCAAATCTGGAAATGTGAGAGAATGAATAATCCCCTTTAGGGCAACTTGACCAATGGGGAATGGAAGCCAGTGAATAAATTCTCCTGGCCTCTGTTTCTTGGGCAGCAGTTCTGAGGAAGCTTTATAATTTTTCACAGAACTACCATTGGCCATGGTGACCAGCTTGAAAGCACACCCTTACTTTGACTCTCTCTTCTCTGTTTCATTCTTTCCAACCCTCACTCACTCCCAGTCCCTAAGATTACTTCCAGTAACCTTTTTTCAACAAGCCCTTGTCTCAGGCTAGGTTTTCTGGGGGAGATCCCAAGCTCAAATTATCATTGCATGTGTCAGTTATTGTTATAGATGCAGATAAAGAAAAGACAAGCGTCAGTATCTATCAATCAATACTTGTGGCCCAGAAATTTAATCCTTAAAAAAAAAGAAACCAGATATTTGCTTTTTGCTTATTTGATTTGGTTTTCAAGATTATACAAAACCCATGCAACTTTATTTGCCCTTCTAAGCAGTATAACTTGACAGGACTTCTTCAAAATAAATTTTAAGTCAAAAGACTGTACTGGTCTTCTCATATGGTTTACTTGCCCATAGAAAATTTGTAATTTTAATAGTTGTGATTAACTTCCTTTGACTTGTCATCACCACACAAAAAATTTTATGCACCTTCTACATAATAGGCCTTAGGCACTAAACTTTTTAGTTCCTATCTAGTTTCTTCATAGAATGTAATAAAAAAAAGTTTCTAATTTCAGTAACTGGTACTAGCATGTTTTGAAAAGAGTTTAGACTTAAGCATGTAAACAGTTCATCAGTGGATAATGACACTGTGGAAACCAGATCACTGATCTCTTTCACTGAAGGTACAGCCTTTATCCATGGAGCCAACAAGAACATCTTCATTTACTTCCTTTTTGGCTATGCTTCATAAGAAAATGTGATACTTTCTTATGGTTTTTGGAATAATGATATTACCTAGTTTTCTAATGGTTTCTTTATTCAGCGTGAATAAGAATAACCACCCTAACCTTCTCTACTTAGATATCGTGGTGCTTGATTTATGTACACCTACCAGAAATAAAAGTTGGCAAGCATTGCCAAAATAAAGTGATTATGCTTTAGCATTATAGAACTAGTCAGGGAATAGAATAAGCCTCTTAGTATTTTTGTAAGGTCATGATTTAGTGACCTTTGATCGGATGAACTTTCTAATGGTTCATGATCTGAAGGTTTAAGTGTCAAATCTATCATACTGAATGGACTCTTCAGTGATCTTTTCAGTTGTGTTTGTTCAGAAGCTTTTGTTGCATCAATGCAGGGATCCCACATGCAGGTCTTTCACTGAGAAGCCCATACACAGAACAGTCTGGGTATTCTAATTTCAGTGCAGAGAATTTCATTAAGGGCATTAGATGAACCTTTTATTAGACTGATCTCTTAATAACTTTATGCCTGCTCTTTTCAAATCATGTTATCTATTTTTTCCCTTGAGATTAATACATGCTTTTTATTCTTTGACCTTTGCTTTTCACAAGGAAGATTGGACTCCGTATCAGGGACTATCTCCCGTTAAGCTTAGCTCTTGTGCTCCCTGTGCATGTAATGTTAAAGAGGTCATTTTCCAATTTATGGTGTTTAGTCTGTCCCTTTTTTTCCTGTTACGGCCCTACCCCACATAAAAATACATATAGATGGAAACATACAGAGGCAAAATAACTTGTGGTTGGTATGCCTTCAACAGAGGCCCTTGCTGCAGATCTTTAGGTAGAATGTATTCTTCCCATCACCTTGCTTAGTATTTTTTAACTTTCTCAGGGTATCTTTCTTTTCTTCTTTTTTATATGTCTTAAGAACAAAAGATTGTTTAGCATCCCATCCCTTCTCTCTCCTAACTCTGCAAGGCTTAGGTGAGAGACTTCTGCATCATTGTCTTGGTTACTAGGATACTTCTCTGTGAGACAGTTTATCAGTCTTGGAACACTAAGTCTTCTGTGTGTGTGTTTATGGGTTTTTTTGTTTTGTTTTGGTTACTGTTGTTTTTTTTTTTTTGCTGCTAATTTCTATTGTCTTTTTCAGTTTTTTCTGTCTTAAATCTTTGTTCATCTATATCATTTCCTTTAATCACGGTATTATGTGTACATGCCAGAAAGGATGGCACTGAACCACTTGTAATATTCTGGGTACAATTTTTGGACCTTCACCATATTACAGCTATATAATTGCTTTGCTATTCCTGATAGGAATTTGTGGTTCCAAATCTATTCCAAAAACTCAAAAGTTTTGGAAGATTTAAATTTTTCCCTATATTTTAGAAAATAATGACAGTTGTATAATGTATTTTTGACTTCTTTTAAATGGGGATACAATATGTAATCTAAATATTTTGATTCTGGTATGAAAGTTCTCAATTAGAGGAAATGATTAGTGTACACTGAATCATATAAATTGTTTATATTTAATGGATATATATTTATATATATAATTTGGATGAGAAAATATGTTTTCAACCACAAATTGGGACCAAATGGGAGTATATTATAGTAATTGGCATCTTAAAAGGAACTACAGGTACTTTTAGTGTAAAGAAATACCTACTTTATGGATTTTCAAACAGTTATATCTAAAATTCTTGACTATTAGAGCTGGAAGTCACCTTAAAAGTTATCTCCCCCACACCCACATGTATACATGCAATGTTAAGGCTTTGAAAAGCTGAGTAAGTCTTGATTGAATACCTCATTACCATCAAGATTAGAGTTGTGACTTCCGTGTGAACTAGGTGCTGTTATTTTTGTGTCAGAGATCTCAACATAGTCCTGACACATTTAAAATACTAGTTTCATTGAATTAAGTTTGGTATATTTTTCAAAGTACTGGGCATATCATGAAATGAAAGAATGGCTAACTATTTATTTCCCTTACATGTTTATGATTATACATATAATACATGATATTGTAGGAAATACGGAACAATACAAAGAATAAAATAGAAATGGTTGTAAAAAGGTTTTTTTTTTAAAACTACACTAGCTTAGGGACCAGTGAAGCATTGGAACAAAGTCACTGGAGCTGAGGCAGAGCAAAACCACTCTTGATGATTTTGGAATGGATTTAGGGATCTGCAGCATGGCCCCTCAGGGCTCACCTCTTCAGTGAGGCTCTGTCATAAGGCAGGGACAGCGGGAGTGCTGTAAGAGAGAAGCCGAACCCTGGAACTGAACCACCTCAGTCACTGAAGGTGCAAGCAGATCCCCATCCAGTACACCTCATTTTTCTCACCGTCTTCTGATTCTGAGGCTTTGCTTATCTCTTTTTTCTCTCACCTGAAGGTTAGCAGTTAGAGAAATGATGTCTAAATTTATGAGGCTGACTTTTTTGATCATGTGTTATTTTTCTTTGGGGTATTACCTCTTTAGCCCCCATTTTAAAACTAATGTATTTTTTTATTGATTTTTTCAGTAGTAACCCTTTTAAGAGTATCAGTCCTTTGTCTAAGATGATACAGATATATATATATATATTTTTTATTTGTTATTTCCTTTAATAGGCTGTGAACTTCTCTAGGTCAAGGACTATATATGTCTTATAATAATTTCAATTAATTTTTAACATATACTATATGCTAAGACTTAACATTCTATATATCTCACTTGAAGCCTTTAAGAGCTAATACTATTTCCATATTACAGAAGCAATTGAGATTAAGTAATTTGGGAGAAAGGTGCAACTAGCTTTGAGAGGTGGAGCTATGAATGAGATCCAAAATTTGACTATGAAGTCTGTGAATCTAACTAATGTATTGCATCTTACATTTTCTTAGATCAACCAGTGTCAGATGCTCATAGATGTCTACAAAAACCTTCCAAGTGATGAACAGTCTTGATTAAATCCTGTGCTCATAGATTTATATTAGTATTTGGCACTACTTCGCAGTTATTTCACACAGTACCTAAATGCATGAAAAGACATCTTCAAAGATGATACATGTAAAATTTCATTATAGATAAGCATTAACAGATAAACATTTGCAATTGATTTTGTTAGGGAACACTACCTTTCAGCCCCAGTAAAACATTCCTCTTCTACCGAAAAAGATGCATTAATCTCATTAGATCCATATTACAAACATGTACTCAATTATTATATTTTGAATATATTCAGTAAAAACTTTGTGGGAAAACTGTGTAAAGCCTTTTGCCTTCTTCAGTTGTCTGCAAGTTACTAATGTTTAAAACTAATCTGATTACAAACAGCACTGTATTTAACTTGATAACTACAGCAAAAATGAAAATTTTCATAAAATTTTAGATACTATGCCCAATATATTTACATATACATTAAGTCAGTCATACACATGATCTTGATTAAAAATTAGTACTCCATATATGGAGTATGAAATGCATGACAAAAATATGGCACTTAAAAAGCAAGTCTTCATAAGATACGTAGTCCAGCAACTAAAAAAGAATTGTCACTGCTACTGGAGGTGAAGAGATGTGAAGCAGGGAGAGCTGAACCTTGTTTGCTTAAGTCTAATTTTAACTTAAACACAGCTTAAAATTTCTAAATTGAATTGTATTATAAGTGAAAGCTTCTCTGCTATTGATGGTGTAATACATCTTAACTCAGCTTTTCTTTGCTTTTCACAGAGCTCCCTAACAGGCATTTATAGCCAGTTCTTGGCAGCGTTAGAATCACTGAAGGTGTTCTGGGATGTAATGGATGAAATTGATGAAAAGACCTGGGTACTCGAGCCGGAAAAACCTACACGGGGTGCGACAGCACGCAGAATTGCATTAGGTAATGAAAAGGGGTTAAGGAGTGTTTTGGGGTTTTTTTTAGGTGTTTCATTGTATTTTGTATTACTTAGGAAAATGACTCTAAAGGTGACTTTGGACTCTCAGGTGAGACTTTTTTGTATGAAGTCAACTATTATAACTTTCTGGGATGAACTATGATTTATTACCATGTATTTAAATATAAATATTTCAGGTGAAAAGGGCAAGTATTGAGGTGTTCCATTATAAAAGGTAATCTGATGGAAATTGCAACAAAGAGTGTTTAATTTGCTTTTAATTAGCACAGAAATGGTGGAATAGGTTTTTCAAAACTTACATTGCTTAGGAAAAAAAACAGCAATAATGATGACATCCTTCATCTGTGACAGTAGACAAGGTTAATATGCACAAATCTGGAAATATTGTAAGACAAAAATAGAGAGGAGAATAAAAGAACCTGAAGTGGGCTGTATGTGTGCCTTTCAAAAGAGTAAACAGAAAGCGCAAAATAATAATCGAATGTATTTTAAGTATTTACTATAAAAGTGAAATTAATGAAAAAGATGTGGTTATTTTTATGACCATAAATATCACCCTTGCAGTATTCATATATTTTTACAATAAAATGATTGTTTTGTGCATTTTCATTATGAGTAAACAATACATAAAATCAGTTTTAGAGTTCAACCTCCCTTGAGTTCTCAGTATTTCTGTAGTTAGACAGTTACAAGAAGCCCTGTGTATATTTTCTCTGTCCTTACTCCTGGTCCATATAGATGTGTTTCACCTTTTAGCATATATTCTGAAGGGTGTTTTAAAATTCTGATGTGAATCATATTAGTGAGGAATTTTTATAGTTTCTACCCAAACATAATAGATCATCTGGGGAAAAAATGACACATTATAAGAAGAGGAAAGTATAATTGTGCAGCAATTCTATAAGTAGTATTGTTATTTAACCAGTTTGAAGAAGTCCAACAGTGTTTAATTTGGAATAATTAACCAAATTATGGTATATCTGTGAACAAGTAGATATTAAGAATGAAAGTATTTTCTTCAAAGAATTGTAGTAGTTTATTATTTTCATGGCCCCATTAATTATTTTTATCAGGTTGTGATTAAATACACCTTTTATCATTTTTCAGCATAAACAACCTGGTTTTTATTTACTATACATTTTTCTTTTAGCTCCATTTTTTTCCTTTTCATTTTTTTGCCTTTGTAGGACCAAGTGTTTAGCAAGTTAACTGAAAGTTAATTGTAGCCACTGTTGTTAAGTCAAAGTACTTTCTGGAGCCATTAGGAGATGACACTGCTAAAGACTAAAAGGGAATTTGTGTTCATTGTAAAAAATACATAGAAAATGAGATTATAAGTTAACTTTTTGTGTTTTTGTTTTTCTCATTTCATGATGTTGTCATTTTTTATTTCATTATACCTTTTTGCCAGATCTGTAATATTATATATTGTTGCCAACCCTAGCTGGAGGCTTATGCTGTGGTATATACAATGTATCAAGAAATTTTTGCCATAAAAATGAAACTCAAGTTGACCTTAAACAATTACACTATGTAGTTTCAAAAAATAGTAAAATTTCTGAAATTTGTACTATTCAAGTACAGTTAAATTTATGGAAGAATCTAGAGCTAAGTAGAAATAGCTTTTTCTTAGATTCTACAAACTAGGTTGGGTGTGTTTATTATTAAATGAACAGTTTCCAATTTAATATGAATTGAGCCCTCTGTTAACATATAGGGAAAAGCTTCACATGGAGCCAAAGAATTCAGAAAATGTTTTTCTAAAAGTTCAGAAAACTCAAATCTTAAACATGTTTACCATTTGTTTTTTTTCCGGCCTTTTTATATTTGACCATAGTTGTATTACTTTTCAATGAAGTCATTTAGACTGTTTCTTAAGATTGTTTCTTAAACTTGTGTTTTTCTTTTTATATTAAATTTATCACTCTATAGGAAATATTTATTTAAACTAGAATTCTGACCAAAATTCCAGTCTAAACTAATTATATTCCTATAGATTGGTTGTTTTTTGGAACTTTGGGTTCCCAAAATCTTTAGTCATAATCATAATTTCAAAGTTTCTTTCTTTTAAACTATATAATGATATCTTTACCTTTATAAAAAACTATCTATAAAACATTTGGCTAATCCTTCCTTGGATGTACAATGAAATAAGTACCCAAACAGATATTCTTTTATTTTTTGTTTGATGAACTGTTGTTCTTCTAAAATTTTTATATTCTTTTACGCTAGGAATGAATGCTTCAATAAACATAGAGGTAGACCCCCGGCATCCTACTCTGCTTCCTGAGTGCTGCTTTCTTGGAGCTGACCATGGTGTGAGATGTGATTTAAATGTTTTTAACAGAATCATAAAATTATCTACTACTGTTAAAATACTATTCTAAAACATTAAGGTATTAATGATAATTATTTTAAATGAAAATGTCTCATTCTGAACTGTGTACCTTTTTTGATACACATGACTTAGATTCTTATCAAGTTGTTAGGAAACAATTCCATAGATAAATTATATATTTCAGAAGTGCTAAGAAAGTAGATGCTAAAAGTATTTATCACAGGAAAAAATTTTTTGTAACTGTGTGTGGTAATGGATGTTAATTCAACTTGGAGTAATCATTTTGCAATATATACATATACCAATCATTATGTTGTACACCTAAAACTAATACAGTGTTATAAGTCAGTTATGTCTTGGTAAAAAAAGAAATTCTGTTCTAAATGTGGCTTTTAACAAAATGTGGGCAGCAAATACTAAATTATTAAACTTTTTTTTTTTAATATCTGAAGTGGTAAAACCTCTGGGAATTAAGCTGAGCAGAAATATACATTTGTGGTAGGTATCACTGCAGTATAATTGTTACTTTTCTATGATTTTACAAATTTCATAACAATTTTTTTTCATGCTTTCAGGGATCCAGAAAATAGTCTGTTACAAAATTTGAAAGATGTTTTAGAAATTGATTTTCCAGCTCGTGCTATCCTGGAAAAATCTGTAAGTTTTATCAGTGCTTTGATAATCCATACCATACCAATGTGCATAATGAAAGTGAAATGTTCTTCTAAGCACCAGAGAAAATATAAGGCTGAAATGGAGGGAACTGGAAGAATATTGTAACAGACTTCTGGACTGCAAGCAACAGTACCAACCACCAAAGACCTTGTTAACCTTTGGTGCTTATAAGTGTACTTTTTCTGTTGTCTTCACACCAGGACAGTGGTTACTGACAGAGGAAGAAAATAGGAAGAAGGGCCAGAGCTCATCAGATTTTGGGGTTTTTATATGTCTGCTTATGGGTGACTGAAATAAAGTTCTAAGTAGCTTGATAGAAGTGTCTGTGAAGGATGGCAGTACAATTTTTCAAAATTTAATAGACACCACTGCATTAGAAAAATAAATTTAGAATTGGTTTTATACAAAGCTGCTAGGGTTGTAAACTACTAAAGTGATGGGATGTCTTTGTCTTTTTCCTTTAGTTACATAATTTTGAAGTTTAGTAATACCTAGCTAATGTCAATTCCTAACTTTACATACTGTGTTTTTATTGATACACAATAGGGGAAAATTAGTTAAGTTTAAACATCTGAGCCAATAAGAATCTGCATTTTAGTATATGTATTTTGGATGAAAAAGGAAACACTCTTCCACAAATAGCTTTTCTAAGGTGTTAAATAGTTTTGTGACTATTTTCTAAAATACAGCAAGTTACTTTTATAAAAATTTCAATATTGTCTATGTCAGATTCATATCTCACCTTATATGTTTTAAGCTCATATGCTTATATCTTTCTTTTGAAGGATTTTTCAATGGATTGTGGAATTTGTTATGCCTATCAACTTGATGGTGCCATTCCTGATCAAGTGTGTGATAATGCTCAGTGTGGACAGCCTTTCCATCAAATATGCTTGTATGAGGTAAAAATAACATCAGCAAGACTTTTTTCAGCTAACAACGTAGAAAATAAGTTATTCAAATAATAGCAGAATCTAGACTCTGTTTCATCGATAGTGATCTGATCTTTTGCTGTTGGCATCTGTGCCAGTTCATTCCAGAAACCCATGTGCTTCATTTCTTCCTTACGGTTACTAATGAGTGAAGAAATGTCATGGTGACTAATGAGTGAAGAAATGTCTCCAGTTCATTCCAGAAACCCATGTGCTTCATTTCTTCCTTACGGTTACTAATGAGTGAAGAAATGTCATGGTGACTAATGAGTGAAGAAATGTCCTGATGTATCCAAGAAGGTGGAAAATGTATCCAGAATATGGTGTCAACTAGTTATTGACATACACAAAAATAGTGCATTGGAATCTTTCAGTAACCATCTCATGTAACCATAGAACAAACTGTAGAGTATCCAAGTGGGAGCAGTGGTGGCAGTAAGGTGAACGGGAGCTAGTGCTATAGAGTAACTGTTATGTTTCAGACTAAAGTATAGAATAAATGTAATAATTCTTTCGACATTGAGAAGAATGCATTTTGTGATCTGAATATCTCACAGCACTCTAAGCCCATGACATCACTATTTACTATATGTGAAGTCTGTTTAATTCCTATCTGTAGTTGTTTGCTCCCTAGAGCACTTATCTTAGGGCACAGTTGACATATGATAACTCCATGTATATCTACATACAAAACACCTTGCAATTGTATAGGGTTTTAGTCTTCCTTAATATCACTTTCCTGATTTTTGTGATGAGAGAGAGCAGTAGGTGCTATCTGCACTTAACAGTGCAGAACTTAGGTACTGAGATGTCAGTTTACTTACATAAAATCATAAAATACCAGGTGTAATTATAGAGATACTCTTTAGGGGATGTGTTTTCTTTGTAATAATGAATATTTAATTTTTAAAAATGGACTTCCTCAATCTTGTAATTAATGGGTTGAAAATTAACCTATTATTGGTGCTTAAGACCAGAATAAACACCTAAATTCTCAAGAGCCTGTGTTATCTTTTACAACAGGAGTTCTTAATTTGAGATTAATAGATCTAGCTGGGGTCAGTGCACCCCATGAACTTGGATGCATTTTGTCTGTTTTTGGAGGGAGAAAAGCTGCATCATTTTTTTATCAGCTTCTTAAAGGGGCCCATAATTTGGCTATAAACCAGTAGTATAGACCTTGAAGTTCATGTTGGGTTCCTCTTGTTATTCAGCATATTCGTAGTCTGATATTGGCTAAGGAAATGTTCCCCTTACTCTTGAAAAATAAAATTAAAGAAGTAAATCTTGAAATAAAAATACAATGTACTCAAAAAGAAAGAAAATGATATTTGGACTATCTGTTTATCATGCTGACACTGTTCCCTTTTTCTTCTCTTTAAAATCTTCAGTGGTTGAGAGGACTACTGACTAGTAGACAGAGTTTTAACATCATATTTGGTGACTGTCCCTACTGTAGTAAGGTAAGCAAATTATTAATCACATTTCATAAAATGTGCCCAGCTTTTAGTGATATTATGGAAGATCAGCTTATCTAAAACATTTTGAGAAATCTGTTATTTCTATTTAAAAAGAAACAGAAGGAAAGTTTCTGTAAGATAAATTATCCTTATCAATAACAATTTTAAGGTGCTCCATTGATCAAAAAACTTTAACAGCCCCTTTCCTAGGTGATCTGAAAATTCAGAAAAGTAATTTTCCAAACTGTATCATGACACCATTTCTAGCATAAAGCAATTTTATTTAGAATGTACACAAACTCTAAAATGTAACTTTTTTATAGCCAATTACCTTGAAAATGTCTGGAAGGAAACCCTGAATATAACATTTCTGTGGAGAACTGGAAACTTTATCAAAAGGATTTTGATATCTTCAGAGAAAACATAAAGACAGATATACTAATATCAAAAGGAAAAGAATGGTGAAGCCATAATAATAGATATTACAGCCCCTTTCCTAGGTGATCTGAAAATTCAGAAAAGTAATTTTCCAAACTGTATCATGACACCATTTCTAGCATAAAGCAATTTTATTTAGAATGTACACAAACTCTAAAATGTAACTTTTTTATAGCCAATTACCTTGAAAATGTCTGGAAGGAAACCCTGAATATAACATTTCTGTGGAGAACTGGAAACTTTATCAAAAGGATTTTGATATCTTCAGAGAAAACATAAAGACAGATATACTAATATCAAAAGGAAAAGAATGGTGAAGCCATAATAATAGATATCTGCCTTTGTCTTTTCGCTAAGAGTAAACTGGGAATTTGTAAGCCAGAATCCTGTAGTTTCTTCTAAGTCTGTAGCCTCCATATCAGCTGTAGAAGTGTATTTGTACCAAGGTGGAGATCTTGACCTGTCAAATATATCTGGACTGGTACAGTCTTGATGGGATTCATAAGATGCATTTGGAGAACTTTCTACTTCATTCAGAAATTGAGACTCACAATATTTTTGCCGCCTTCTTGTGCTTTCCTATGGAAAAATATGTATATAAAATAGTTTGAGTTTTCCAAATATTTATTTTATGTCCTCTATAAGAATGCTAAATAAAACTTGTTACACAAATCAAGTTCTTTGTGTGTTTATTTTTCCTGAGAAGAGTTTCTAATCTGGTTGATTGGTTTTTTTAAACCAGTAAGTAGGGCAGAATGTGAAAACTGAATTTTCTTGGCAAGGAAAAAAACCAGAGATAATCTCAGAGAGTAAGATAGAAAGCTTTTGGTCATTAATGATTTAATACAGTGATTCTAGGGGAGCTGAGGCACCAGCACAAGTTGGTGGCATGAGTGCTGTGTGCCCACAGAGCAGCCTCGGCTCTAGAGATTGATGTCTTCCCCTGTTAGACCTCAAGAACACAGCTGGTTAAAATCCTTCTTTGTTCAGAAAGTTGATCCAAGAAAAGATGTTCCCTCTCTTCTCCTAGCCAAAAGGAAATAAACTGTCTATACACAAATTACAGCTTTACAATGTTAAAGCAGAATGCCTAACAGCATATGTAACAAAATCTGTCAAGAGGAGTTGCCAGTTTCATAAAGATCACCCTTGCACTTGGGTGGGAACTTGGAACACATGGTATGGCAAGCAGGATCAAATTGTCTTCCCTCCAGAGGTATGAAGGAGGCTATCCAGCCCTCCTGAAGGTCACGAACAAATTCAGAGAAAATCAGGAATTTGGGGCATTATGTAAGGCAAGAAGCAACATACCTCTTTCTAGGAAGAATCAGCTGCTATTAACGTTCAGTTTCTGGAATGTCAGGACCTAATTTATGAACCCAGATCTTAGCACTAGATCTCTGACCAGGAACTATGATTGAATGAGGCAATTACTGTTTTAAGTGCAAAATACCAATTTTTCCCCAAACTGATCTATAGATTCAACACAATCCCAGTCAAAATCCTAGCAGCTTTGGAAAAGCAAAGGACCCAGAATAGCTAAAATCTTGAAAAAGAACAAAGTTGGAGGGCTCACATTTCTAAATTTCAAAACTGACTATAAGCTAGCATAATCAAGACAGTAAGGTACTGGCATAAAGGCATACACATCAATGAAGAGAATTTTAAGTCCAAAAATAAACACATATATGAGCAATTGTTTTCTGACAACTGCACTAAGGAAATTCAATGGGGACAGTCTTTTCAATAAAAATCCTGATACAACTAGTATCCTTGCAAAAAGATACATTTAGACCCCCTACTTCACATTATATATATTGACCAAAAATGCAGATCAAATATAACAGCTGGAATATAAAACTTTCAGAAGAAAAGAAAACAAAGGAAAAAAATCTTTGTGACCTAGAATTAGGCAAAAAGTTCTTAGATATAACACCAAAATCACAATCCACAAAAGAAAAAAAGAAAAATTAAAATTCAACAATTCATCAAATTAGAAACTTTTGTAAGTCAAAGACAAGCCACCATACTGGGAGAAAATTTTTCAGATCATATATATGATAAAGGACTTGTATCCAGAATATGAACTCTTAAAACTCAATAGACAACCCAGCTGAAAAAATGGGCAAAGGATTATTCTCCAAAGATAAACAAGTGGCAAAAAAACAGGAAAAGATGCTCATCATCCCTACTCACAGGGGAAATGCAAATCAAAATCATGAACAGATACCATTATCAGGATAGCCATTATCAAAACAGAAAACAAGTGTTGGTGAAGATACAGAAAAATCAGAACTCTTGTGTACCATTGGTAGAAATGTAAAATGATATAGCATTTATGGGGAACAGTACAGAGGTTACTCGAAACATTTAAAGTAGAATTACCATATGATCCAGCAATCTCACATACAAAAGAATTCAAAACAGCATCTCAGAGATGTTTCACACTCATATTCACTGCAGAATGATTCACTGTAGTCAAGAGGTGGAAGCAACCCAAAAAACCAAGGACAAACATGAATAAAATGTGATATATATAATAGAATATTATGCAGCCTTCATAAAGGAAATCCTGCCACTGATCAGGTTAAATAGCATTTACATATAAATTAATTAGATGTGGTGGTGATGGATGATATCCCCACCTAGGTAAGTCAAGCTACTAAAATTTCAAGATAGAACTGTCTGTGACGAGACCTGTATACCTCATCTCTGAGCAACAACTGATACCAAATGGGAAGGCACTCAAAGGATTTAACCACCAGTTTTCAGTTCACTGACAGATCTGATTACAAAAGATAGTCTGTGGCAGTGGCTGGAAAAATGTGAGTCATTAGCTGGCTGCCTGTTTTGTGAATAAAGATTTATTAGAACACAGCTATAGCCGTTTGTTAATGTATGCCTATGGCTGCTTTTACATGACAGTGGCAGAGTTGAATTGTTCTGACAAAGTCGACCATAAGCCTAAAATATTTACTGTCTGGCCCTTTAAGAAAGAAGGTCAGTGGTATTATTTTTCATATTAGAAAAAGCACACAAATTATTTTGGGATATTGTTAAAAATGCAGGTATCATTCAGGTCTAAGGTAAGACCTTAGATTCTGTGTTTTTAAGAAGCTCCAGGTGAAGTCAGGCAGCTGATTGGCACAGCACACCTGAGTTGCAAGGGATTAAGGTATGCAATAATATTTTCTACCAGAATAGTGGTTCTCAACCTAGGACAGTTTTGCCTGATAGGGACACTTAACAGTTTCTGGAGACCTTTTGGATTGTCACAACTGGGAAGAGGTACTGTTGGCATCTACTGGATAGAGGCCAGAGATGCTCTTCTACAGTATTCAGGACAGTCCTTTAAAACAAATAACCAAGCCCCAAATGCAAATAGTGATACTGTTGAGAAAACCTTCATTAGGAGTAATTATTAGCCTGAATGCACATAAGAATGAATTAAGAAGCTATGAAAAATATGTTTACTATCTATGAAAAGTACCTGTAAAATACTCGTACGTCTGGCCCTGAGTAATGGGTATCAGACCTTCCTGCCTGCTGTAAAACCCATGAAATGAATATAGAACAATAAAGTTGGACAAAATATATGAAGTAACTTACCAGGCTTAGAAAACAAGTCTGATTTCTTGAGGAAAGGAAAACCACCCAGACCCCAGAGAGGCTACAATTTAAAATGATACTTCCTTTAGAGGAGTCCTCAAATTCCTAAACAAAAGTCATGACATGATCAAGGTGAACCAACAATAAATTAAGTGTCTGCAAAGACAAACTTGAACATTCCTTAAAGGAATACAGTAAAATACTGAGTTCCAAGAATTTAGCACCTACAATGTTAAGCATACAATAAAACCTTACATGAGGAACAGGAACATGACCCACAACTAGATCATAGAAAAAGAATAAAAATAGGCATGACCTATATGGTAGAATAATCAAACAAGGACAATAAAACATCTATATAAAAACATATTTAGTGAAAAGATGAGGGACTCTAAGCAGAGAAATGGAAAATACAATAAATATACTTACAGAACTGTAAAATTCAACATATGAAATGAAAAATTAATTGGCTACTGATCTGACAACTAGATGCCAGGCAAAAGGAACTATCCGAAATGAAGTACAGCAAGATAAAAGACTGATTTGAAAAATGAACAGCCTCAGAGCCTGTGAGAAAAGTTAAAATATTCTAGCTTGCATGTAGTTAGATCTCAAAAGGAGAAGAGGTAGTAGAGCATGAAACAAATCATAGCTGAAACTTTCCCAATTTGATGACAGATATCAATCCACAGATAAAAGAAGCTCAATGAGCTCAAAGCAGAATGAACAGAGACAAATATCCCTAGAAAACCGAAGATAAAGGAAATCTCAAAAGCAGCCAGAAGAGATTCTCAATGGTAAGAATAAATCAGAAGGATGACTTCCTCCCAGAAAAAAGCACATCCTAGAAGACAGAGAAACAACATCTTTAAAGATGTTGAACAATTCCATACACATGAAGCCTTCAAAATGAAGGTGAGGGGCATCTAGTTTCACAAAAGACAGAGTTAAGTATATTCTACTGTATTCCTCCTGCTAATTAAAACTAAAAGACTTTACAAAAAGCAACTAATAGAACATTCTGAAAGTTGTAGAATAGAAGGCAGACTGGATAGGGACTTAAGACATAAGGAACGACCTACCCACAAGTCTAATCCCCATAACCCCTTCTTTTTGGTGCCTCCTATATATCCCAAACTGAGTCATAAAGCAGCCTATAATCTGAAAACAACAATATGTGCAAACAAAAATAAGTCAAAGGAAAGCCTGCTATCTTTAAGCAATGGACCAGGTGGTGGGCAGGTCTACAGTTCCTAACAGTTTTGACTATACCTCTTCTGCTCTACTGAACACCATCAAAGAATCCTGTCAAGTATCACCACCCTGAGCTAACTAGGGAGCACACCTACTCCTCCCTACCAAGCAGTGAGGAGACTAGAATGGAGCTCTTTTGACAAGACCATGCCCATGCTAACAAAGCAGTACCCTATCCCACTGGGTGTTATGAAATTATGACACAGTCATGTCAGCCATTCCCAGCCTGCAGTACTGAGGTGGCAACTCTCTCTCCCCACCAGGTACAGGCAGAGCCCTTGAGACTGTCCTTCCCTGCACTAACAGAGGCAGAAGCAGTGTCTCTCTACCATCCTGCACTGCAGAGACTGAAAGAGAGTGCTAATGACCATGCCCTCCTGCAGTAAGTAAGCATCAGTAAAGAGATATCAACCCTCTACTTCTCATTGGCCTCAGATATTGCTGGGAGAAGACCTCTTGACCATCACTGCCATGCTTTAAGCAAATGACAGCAAAGAGGCAGTACCCATTACTCCTAACTAGAAAACCCTGTTCTTGGTAATTAAACTACTAGAGAGAAAATCAGCAAGGTTATAGAAGAAATTGAGACCACAAAACAATGGCATCTGATATTTACAGAACACTTCACCCCAAAACAGGAAAATATATGTTCTTTTCAGTTGGAACATTTGCCAACAGAGACCATATCCTGCATCATAAAAATAAGTCTTAACTTAAAATTATACACAGTATATTTTCAGACAATAATTAGGACAGAGAAATTAAAAAAAAATATTCAAACACTTGGAAATTAACACATTCCTACACCCAAGCCATCAAAAAGTCTCCTGGAAAAGCACATTAAACAAAAATACAATTTTTATTTTATGTATTTTAACAAAAAACATAAGGATTTATGGGGTGCAATTAAAATGGACGTTAGTAGGGCATTTAGAGCATTAAGTGCTTATGTTAGAAAAAAACCAAGGCCTAAAAGCCTATCCTTCCAACTAAACTAGAAAAACAAAACAAACCAAGTCAAGCTGAAGGAAAGAAAGAATGGGAAAATCTCCAAACATATGCAAATTTCAGAACACTCTTCTTGGGTCAGAGAGACCCAAGAGCAGGTTAAAAATATTGAACTGAATGAAAATGAAAATATATCAGAATGTGTGGGATATGGCTAACAATGCTAGAAACGAAACCTGTGTACTCAATACCTGTATTAGGAGAGAAGTCAATTGAATAATTGAGACTTAAGGTTCCACCTCAAGAAAGGAGAGAGAAAATAAATCCATAGCAGAAAGAAATAAAAATAAAAGCATGAACAAATGAAACTGACAACAGAAAAATGAAAAGATTCTGTGAGAAGACCAATACAATTGATAAATCTGACCAAAGATGAAGAGAAAACAAACTACCAATATTTGGAAAGAAAGAGAGATTACTGTAGCCCCCATAGACATTTAAAAGATTTGAACAAGGATATAATATAGTGAACAACTGTACACATAAAAATACAGCACCTTAGATGAAATGGACCAATTCTTAGAAAACCACAAATTAGCAAAATTAACTCAAAATGAAATAGATTAGGGGCTGATAAACTGGTCTGTAGGCCAAATCCAGCCCACAAC